CGGTTCCCTAAGAGGATGTGGCCACCGTGGGCCATTCCCCGAGCGAGGTAGCCATGAGCCACGGTCGTCTGGCTCCCTGGGTAGAAGTCTCGACCATGGCTGGTGATGAGAGAAGGCCCCGGGCCCCCTACGTAGGTAAACTCTAGGATGTAGCCCCCGTAGGAGTTCTGAGAGTGCGCCCGCCATAGGCCACAGGACCCAGATTCCCGAGGTGGAGGCTTAGGCCATGGCCAATGGCAGACGCGGGCGCCGGCCCTTTGGTGTGGTTAACCACGTGGTTCCCTAGAAGGATGTGGCCAGTCGAGGCCATTACTCAAGCGAGTTCATCATGAGCTATGGTCCTTCGGTTTCTCGGATAGGAAACTTGGCCACCACTTGCGACGAGCGAGGGTACTGGCCCCTCTAGGTTGGTGAACTTCGGGATGCAGCTCTCGAGGGTAGTTTTGGGAGTGTGTCCACCGCGGGCGATGGAACTCAGGTTTCCAAGGTGGAGATCTGGATTGTGGCTGATGGTGGACGCAGGCGCTGGCCCTTTGGTGCTAATGACCACCGCGGGCCATTCCACTAGCGAGTCCACCAGCGGTGGAGGAGCCATCGCTTCCTTCCTTAATCAAACGAGAGTGCGCGACTGTCCCCAACCTAGCGCGCCAACTGTCAGTGTTTCGTAAACCGGACTAGTAAATTTATACGATTACCGCGCTACTCTAGGAAGACGATGGTAGCATCCAATAGACACGAGGATTTATACTGGTTCAGGTTGGAGCCCTACATCCAGTCTCAGTGAAGATCGAGTGCGTGTTCCTCGCTTGAATGCTCTGAAGTTCTTACAATGGGGGGTGCAAGCATGGTAGAAGAGGTGGTAGAACAGTATGTTGACATTTTCTATATTGTTTTGGCAACATACAGTTTATAATGATTCAATGTGCAAAAGGCTGGATATACACATAGAAGCTCACATAAATCATGATAGAGACTAGCTCAAAGCCCCAACTATCCAGGCAACTAAATCATGATCATGAGATAACCTATGCTGATCACATCAGGATACAAGACAACAAAAGCAACGTATATTCACGCTATTACCTAAAACATTCATGTACCAGTCGCGGAAAGAAATCCTTCACATCTAATTCCACTAGTAAGAACCAATCTGGCAATCCAACCGAAACTCTAGATGACCCCAAGATCCAATGGCGCACCCCACCACAGATAAGGAACTAGTCCCGTCCGGAGAGAGCAAACCTTAGAGGAATGAACCTTAGTGATGAAGACGAAGGGGCAGACGGTCTTGCAGATGCAGCACTTCTTATTGTCCATCACAAAATGGAGGCGGGCAACATAGGTGGAGCACACGTCATGGTGCCCGCAAGATCCATACGCCACCCACTCCAACGTATCGGCGCACACCACGTAGAAGTCTTCCATGGCTGGCGGGCAGCGGAGATCGGCCCCGATGGCGGCAAGGCAAGGAAGAGGATGCGAGGGTTAGGGAAGAAGATGCGGGGGTTAGGGCATCGTCTCCAAGTTCCCCGGGGCATCATGCCCGTAGCAGGTAGGCGCCCTGGGTCGTTGTTCACCTGGTTGCTCTATGGGGCTGAGGGCCATGACCCCAATCGTCGGGGTCGGGCCTTTCAATTGGCCTGGTCAGCCTCTGCGCTGAGACCCTTGTCATGGCTTTCATTCCATAGTGGGTAGGACCGTATACCTGCCTGGTTGGGCCATACCCGGTCGGTGGTCATCGTACCCGTCGTTACCGCCTCAAGGCGATGTTGTCTTATCCATGCAGCGTGGCATAGGGTTGGCGTCTAACCGGGCTGAGGTGACTACTGTCACCTTGGTCCTTACGAGGTCAGTGTGGTGTGCTTACCCCTGTCAGGGTAGGCTCGCTTGGCAAGGCGCGACCTCTTTCTATCTCTTTCGGAGGTCATGGCGGAGAGAGGTCATACGCCTTGCAAGCGTGGTGAGACTGAGGTAGGTGGAAGGGGTCATGGATAACCACAACCTCAGCACCTGGCCTGACCTATTTGGCTTTTGCTGGGACTCGGTCGTTTGGGCCTTTGTCTGTTGTTGCGTTGTGAGCTATGCGGCCCGCCATCTAATCGATGCCTCGAGATACCCTAGGGTTATAACCCCGACAGTGTGTGACTATCCCCTACCTGGCGCGCCAACTGTCGGTGTTTCGTAAACTGGACTAGTAAATTTATACGATTGTTGCGCTGCTCTAGAAATACGATGGTATCATCCAAAGGACATGAGTATTTATACTGGTTCAGGCCGAAGCCCTACGTCTAGTCTCAAAGATGATCAAGTGCATGTTCCTCGCTTGAATGCTCTAAAGTTCTTACAATGAGGGTGCAAGAATGGTGGAAGAGGTAGGAGAGCTAGAGCTAGGAGATGAACTACCTGAAGGGAAACTTCAAGAGTTTGGAGGTTGTGAAGAATGTGAGGATCCTTCAGAAGGATGCCCTGGCTGACCTTATATAGAGTTCAGGGCCAGGGCATGTACAAAGAAGTAGGTTCTTCCGACCGAGGGGTCGTGAGCCTGAAGGAGGGGCCTATCTAACTTGGCTTGCAAGCTACGCCGTCTTTCTGCGCACTCCGGGCGTGGTTGTTGTCATGGTCTTGTGACCACGTCGCGGCATAGTGTGGCGTGGTGCTACTGTGCTGGTCGTGGTGGCACTGTAGGCATAGTGGTGGTTCGCCAGCCGTCCTGTGCGACGTGGGTTCCGTTGTGGCCTTCGTCATTGCCTCCTGTTCTTCTGGGGGCGTCGTATATAAGTTGGTAGTCGTCCCTAGGTCATCGATCGCCTGGTTAGCTTGTGGAGTCGTTGGTCATGATCCCGAGCTCTGGGGTCGTGGCTCTCAGCGGCCCGGATGGCCTTTAAGTCAAGGCTTCCATTGTGGATCCCATCCCGTAGTGGGTAGAATCATACATATGTCTTGCTGGACCGTATTTGGACGGCGAGTCGCCGTACTGGTAGTCATCGCTGAGCGGTGTTGTCTTGTCTGTGCTGCATGGCGCAGGGATGGCATCTGACCGAACCGAGGTGACTGCTATCCCCTCGGTCCTTGCGGGGTTAGTGCGGCGTGTTCACTCTTGTCAGAGCAGGCGTGCTTGGTTGGGCTTGACCTCTCTCCATTCCTCCTAGGGGTCGGGACGACGGAGAGGTCGTGAACCCTTGTGCAGCGTGTGGCTAAAGCAGAAGGGAGGGGTCGTGGCTAACCCGTCCTTGGCGTCTAGCCTGGTCCGCTTGGCTTAGCTGGGCCTCAATCGTTTGAGCCTTCGCTAGCTGGTGTGTCGTGTGTCGCTCGGCCTGCTAACTAATTGTTGCCTTGAGATACCCGGGGATCATAACACCAATATTATGCATGATTGTTATCAGTTAGAACGGCCCCTCTATGTTCAAATCCTGGCTCCACCACTGTTGTGAGGTAAGTAAATAAATACATAGAAGATCCTCGAAGTTGCACAGTTTAATAGCTTGCTTAATTTCTAGTAGAATTAGTAACTTTCTTACTAAAAAGGTGTCAGAGTTGTGATTTTTATAAAAACTAAAACATCTCCAGTTTGATCGACCATATACAGCTTACAGAACCAGATAGAAGTTTCTCTCTAACTTAATTGTGTATTTAAACATAAAATGTTGATATTTTAGTTCCATTTTATCAGATACTTCTTTTTTATGAAAGATCCAGCAAAGTGCTGGTGCTATATTAACGGTCAGAGAACTATAACTGGTTTCAAGCTAATCATCAAAGGCGTGAAAAGAATAATTGGCATAAGCCGCTCCAACTAGAATCCAAAAAAGATAGAATCCAAAAAAGATAGATGATGCCTTGTAAATGTGCCATGCCCACCCCTGCACCAAATCCTGATGCCATCCTTGACTTACAGAATGACTGAACGAAAAAAAAAACTAGCTTAAAATCCTCTTGTTGCGGATTTCTGCAGTGGGTTTAAATTCTAATAATACAATTCTTATGTCGAAAACTTAAATGCTTTTACATTTATTGTGATCCAATCTTTTAATCCAGATAGTGTGCATTTAGTCTGTCATCAACTTTGAAACAGAGTCGGTAAACGATGTAGCTAGTGTACATTATGCTCCGATTTGTAGAGTTCTATGGTTTGCGGATGTTGAGGCCCGGTTTGTAGAATTGCTTACAATATTTGCTATTAGAAAGATGATAGTTTAATTCTCTGGTTGCTCGAAAGTTTATATAGCTATAAATTCTTTATATATGCCATAAAAGATGCGTTTTACTGGTTTTGTGACAGCTTGTTGGGCAGTTAAGTTCCCTGATTTTGAGTGGACTGTATATATACCTCTATGGAAAGGCCAAAGAACTACAGGTGAAGACTACCACGTCAGGTTCAAGGGATGAGGAGCTTCAGGTGCGACCTACCCATGGTTGAAGGAGTGAGGATACAACATCCGGGGCAGAGTATGTTATAACAGCCATGACAAAAACCACAGGTGTGTCGTGGTTTCCCTAGTGATGAAAAAACAGCGTGTATGGTTATCTCATATGACTATGTAGCTATGACGCAGCATCTCCAATTAATGATGTGGGTTATTGTGCTGAAAATACATGTGTCTGCTACTCTACAAACTGACTTGAACGAGGTCCAACCAGCTAGAGTACATTTAGGGCGTAAAGTACCTTTATTGGACTTTTTTTTTGGAAAAATTTGGTTATCAGGTTTTTCATCTGATCTCTTCTCCTAAAAAGATTAAACTGGACCCGTTCACTCCCGTGGTGAAGCCAGCCGACGCTCAGCGCCCCCACCTGCGATCTCCGCACGACGGCACGACCGCACTCCGTCTCCACACTGCCTTGCGCTCCGCACTCTGGCCCATCCCGCTGCAAGGCCGCCCCAGCTCCACTCCTCCCCTATCCCGTCCCGCGCCACCTCCACCCCGTGCGCCGCTGCCCAGCCCCGTCCGGCCGCCTCGCCCCGCCCTGCTCCGCTGCAGAAGTAGAGGGCAGCGGCCCGCATGGCAACCCCTACGGACTCCGCATCCCCGCCGAGCACAGGTGGACGCGCAGAGGACACCCGCCTGGTCTGTGGTCAAGGACAAGCTCTCCGGCTCTCCCACGTCGCCGGCGGGGAAGGAGACAAGGTCACCGTCCACAAGGACTATACTACCGGGTTCGTCGAGAGCGTCGGCGCCCGCATCTTCATCCACTGTCTCTCCACCACGTACGTAAAATCCCACTCCCTTCCTCAGTCCCACACTCCCACCACACTCTCTGATTTAGATCTAGATTGCCCCTAATTAACTGTGATTCTTATCCTCTGTTGCTCTGCGTGGATCGTGATTTTGGAACTTGGAAGACAAAGCAAGTAATCTGATACTATCATTTTGTTGCAGGAGCAGTGAGGTACAGATATTTTATCCCATCCAATCCTGGGTATTTTTGGGGAAATTATAGAATGTTGCCATGGCTCCAAGCAATTGACAATGCATTTTTCTGTGGCTGAGTCCAAGCTTCAGAAGACATTATTGGAGAAAAGGGAGCTGTATATGGAAAGAGAATTACTGCTAGACTGACAAGGCAGAGATTAGAAAGGATATTGAGAGTCTGCACTCACCAATTAAGAGTTTGATGAAAGATCGTCGAGATGCATATAACCAACTGGAAGGAACATAATCTGATGCATGACGCCCAACGTCGACTGCTATAATTGATGGACCACGTGCTGACTGCACGGCTGATTCAGTAAACCAACTGCAAATCTTTTTTTTTTTACTGACCACATGATTTTTCTACCACATGATTTTTTTGAAATTGCAATTCAATTCAAGACGAAAACCAATTGAATGTGTCAGCCTAAGATGAGAATACCAAAGGCTTCTTGCATAGGAAATGTGACAATAGAAAATCGAGCGAGTTTTTTTTTTTTTAATTAAGTGTTGGACTGAATATCCACCCATCTTAAAACGAGGAAGCAGTTTTGAAGGCGAAGTAGACACTATAGAAAAGGGGAGCATTATTGACTTCACTAATACATTCAGATATCGGTAATTTCATTTTTGTTATTCAGTTCGTATATGCGGGGTTATTGACAATTTGATGGTCTCCTTTTCTCTTCTAGATACCTCTAAAAATCTTTGATTGGAAGCTTCAGCAAATATAACATGTTGATAGGACTATGATAGTTCTGAATGCAGCACCAGTCACACTTAATCATGTTCGCACTCCAAAGATCATGAGGGTTGACCTGCCAACGGACGCTAGGCCAGTTGGTCAAGCGCTTCCTGCGGCACCCTCAGGTCCTGAGTTCGACTCCCTGTGGGAGCGAATTTCAGGCTGAGGTTAAAAAAATCCCCTCGTCCGTCCCCATAACCAAAGCACTGGGGGGCACCGGCCCAATTCTCACTTGGGCGACGGAAAGCCACCATGTAAGGGTGGGGGCGGGGGTTCGGGGGTTTTCTCGTCCGGGTGAGAAGGTCCTTCTTATTTGAAATGCTGCGGGGGTAGTCTTAACCCCTCCGGTCGAGTTTTTTTTTTATTACTGGACCAGATGGCATGCCAGCACACATTAACCCACCAAATTTTGGTTGTGCCTGACGTATGTGTTTCCTCACTTATTTCCTCCCTCCATTATGTCATTCTTCTACTGCATAAAAGTTTTAATAGGTTGCATCTTTGCACTATGCAGGAGTCCTCTAACCGATGGACATCTCAATATGGGAGTTAAGGGAAACACATACCCCTTCTCACAATTGCTCAGATATTCAATCTTACTTGCTGCAGTGCCCCAATTTGCATTTGGAATATCATAATTTGGTAACGCCTGGCAAACAGATGTGAGCTTAGGAAATAGGTTAAATACATTTTTGGACCTGAATGTAAAATTAAGACTTTGTTTCAAGTGTACCATGTACTAGATTCAGCTGTAACATATGAATGGATGCTAGAATTTCCAATAAATTCACCGCTACAATTATCTGTGTGATTTTTGGCTTAGGTGATCATTACTATTCTCATCATTGCATTCAGTGCCCAATATATCTTCCCTTCTATGTGGGACAATGCAAGGTGCAGTTTTAACTTACAAAATTAGAGAACTGACGAAGACAGTATATATTGTAATATTAGTTCATTTTGACACAACCAGAAATTTGGTAGTGTAATAGCACTGGGCCAGCTCATCGACCTGGTGCTTATTAGAAAGTTGTCTCTTGCAGTTTTCTTGCTCAGTTGCATTCAAGTAACACTCTTCCTTGATCTCCTAGCTTTCCATGCATTTTAACCTTTTTTTTCATGTGCTACAGACTCTTGCCGTTGTGTTAAAAATTCAACAATTGCTGTTTATATATGTTGTTGTTGGGTTGAGTGCAAGGAGACGGCATCAGTGAGGGATGAGTGTGTACCTTTTTTTTGGATGGTTGAGTCCTCGAATCTTGAAGAATAATACTTGCTGGTGGCGGTTCCATTCAACAGTCTCCGAACCGAAACACCGCCTTATTTATATGTTAATCAGGTCTAATTTTGATGAATCTCCAATAATAGATAGTTTATTTGAATGTGGCTCAGAATAGTACGTTGTAAAGTTGAGTTAAAATTTATTTGTCTGGACCTATTATTTTTTCTATATTTTTATTGCGTTGAAAATTTTGAGGCTCCGTAGCAACGCACGGGCATATGCTAGTTAAAATAAGAAAGGAGATGGTACAGCAATGTTTTCACCTTACATGAGCAATGTTTTCACTTTACATTAGGAGAAAAGTTAAGGCTAATTACTCGCTATATTTTGGACAATCGTCAGGGGAAGCCACACTTTCCCCACCAGATGTGAAGCTGAGCGGGTGAGGAAGGGGGGAAGGCCGTGGGAGAGGGAGTTTTGGGCCTTCGGGCCAAAATGTGAGAGCGAGGGTTTCTTTTCTTTTTTTTTTCCTATTTTTTCTTTTATTTCAAAGCCTTTTTCACAACCTTTTCAAAAGCCATTCAAATCATTCTGAATTTTGGTCTAAAGCACTAACTCTAATAAATCCAATGCAGTGGCATATATGCTCAAACATGTACCTAACCTTATGAATAAATTTTAATTTAATAAAAATTATTATTTTTCCTATGCTTTCATGAGCACAAAAATACATAATTAATTTTTTTTAATAATTTGCAAATTTTAGGGTGTTACAAATAACACTATTAGCAATTGTATTTCTTGCAAAACACATATACAAAATTATCTTTTGAAAAAAAAATCTTAGGCATGCAGGGGCGTGTGGGCCTGTCACTGGTGGAGCAATAGGCATACCGCGCGTATTCCTGGTGTCCTACCATGCAAAAGGCACATGGGCCAGAGAATATTGCCGGCGTCACTAACCCACACTGACCACCAATGCAAGCAGGGCATCTTTGACTCATCTGTTTTGTTTCTTAAGAACGTGGCCGGGCAGATCTTTTATTTCATCTGAAGAACAGCTAACCTGAGAGTTAGCATTGTTGACTTGTTGACCATTGACACCACCTCAATATTTCTCAGTACTCCCTCCATTTAAAATTAAAGATATTTTGACTTTCTTAGATATGTATAGCTTTTACTGTGTACTTAGATATATACTCCATTCCAAATTAGAAGATGATTTTCAAATATATGTACATTGATTTCACTATGTACCTAGATACAGTGTATATTTAAGTGTATATAGCTTACGAATCTAAAAAGTTAAGACGTCTTATAATTTAGAATGGAGCGAGTACTATGCTACATCACCTTGTTTAATGTTCGTGAAACTCTCTTCTCTGAAAAATTAATAATATCCCTGAAACTCTCATAAAACCCCATTAAGACTGGCTTTAATAAACAAACTCTTTCACGTCGTCCTATCGGCCTAATGCATTTGGACAATTTAATTTTAAATATAAATTTGTATGGAAATTAAAAAAATATATCAAGAACTTCAAGTAGTTTTTTCTGAATAGTTTTGTTGATCTGAAATGAAGAACCTTGGGACCTTAAAAACCATATGTTTATAAATAGAACCTAAAATTCATGCACGGTCTATTTTGCTTGTATCTAACATCATAGATTTTGCAGTTTTGAAATCGAAATTCTTCTTGGATGTTGTATTTGAATTTTTCTTTGACCCTTTTGGCCCTAAAATGTTTTGATACAAATATGAAAAAAATCATCTAAATTTATATTTCAGAAAGTATCATTTTGTCGTGTACTAACTTCTTATCATATGAGTTCAAGTGAAATTTAAAGTTTCTTAACAAAGTGCGTGTGCAAAATGAGAGTAACATGCTTTTTGTTAAGTAACTTTAGATTCCAAATGAGCACATATGGGAAGTCACATAAAAGTACTACTTTCCAAAAAACTATGAGTTTTATTATATGATTCTTTTAGATTTTTTAAATTATTTTGGGCTGAACGAATTAACCCAAAACTCAAATTAGCATTCTGATAAGATGTTAATTTCAAAAATGCAAAACCAGTATATGGTTCTAGTACAAGCAAAATGAGTCATGCATGATTGCATCTCTTTTAGAAAAGTACATGATTTTTAGAGGTTCGCAGATTCTTGGATCAATAAAAATATTTTGAAAAAAACAACATGTACCTATAAATGTCATACCTGTGTAGAAGCTTTGATTTGGTTTTTTCACTATCACCGGTAAGACAATTTTGAATAAAATGTATCTTTAGTAAAATCGATCTTTAGTAAAATCGCTTTCTAGGTGGGCATTTTTTGTAGAAGTCATTTCTCCTATGGAAGATTTATGAAAGTCGGTCCACCAACGAACGACATATTTTACTATTTTTTGAAACTGAGTGGATAGATACTTCATTTATCTCAGAATAAACACACATTACATTTCTCGATGAGTTAAACTCTTCTAGCTTTGACTAGTTTAGGAAATAATAAAATGATGCTTATCACACATCATGAATATTGATACTTTTGTGTATATGTTTGGTTAATCTTAAAAAGCTTTGATTCCTCGATAAACATGGTGTATATGTATTTTCGGTTTGAGGGAGTGTACTTTTGTAAATTTTCATATAAAAATGTACTAAAAAGTGCATTTGACCGACATGCAGCAGCCAGCAAGACTATGGTCCTTTAGCGTGTGTCACACAGGCAGTGGGATACTGCGTTGTTGACCATAGTGGCCCCACACCCCAATCATCGTTTGATTATTCAAGTACCGATTGTAATAATAACTGTACCAAGGAGTTACGACAACACCAAATGGTATGCAGACAAGCTTTGGTCATAATGACGTGGTTTAGCTTAAGTATGTTAGCAAGTATTATGTACTCGGCATTGGACAGCCTAAACCTTCGTAAGAAATAATTTGAATTTTGCCATGGTAAATTTTAGGTTTCGCTCGTTTGACATCCCCAGAGGAGATTCTCTATCAAATTTGGGTTTCACTCATCCAGAGAAGATTCACTAAAATGTCATTATTAGACGGGTATAGGAATCAAAATGTCATTCTCCTATTTTGTTTGAAATCTAATACTCCATCCATTCCAAATTATAAGATATCTTAGCCTCTCTAGATACATTGATTTTACTATATATCTAAGTATAATGTATATTTAAGTACATAGCAAAAGCTATAGGAATCTAACAAAGCTATGATTTTATAGCGAAGCTCAAGTGTGATGATGACAAAATGCCAATTAAAAATTCTGCTCGATCTGGAACGCCTGATGGAAGGGGGAAAAGGAATGGAGAGGAGCAGCAGTGTAAATATACAGTGACCCAGCTGTGTTGTTCATCATGCTTCATGGGTGCTTATATAGAGAGAAGGTGATGAAGATAAATATGTCTCCTTCCTACCCCTCCTTACAATAAGTAGGAAGAGAGATAATTGCCATTTTGTTTTTTTAATGTCAAGGAGGGGAGGGGTGATAACCGCTTTTTATGTTTAGAAGATCTTTACAGTATCTCTAGGACCTCCAGTCCTAGAACACCAGAGAGAAGGGAGAAGAAAGAGTCTGGGGTAAAAAAGACATTTCGTCATCTTTCTCTATCCTTCTCAGCTAGAAAACATTATTTTAATATAATAGGTGCAGTGTTTTTGGGTAAACTTTGCGTGAACTAGAGTGTCCAACAAGCACCAACCAATTAGACTATTTTCAGTACCGGCTATTTTTAGTGTCCAATGGCATCGTAACATCACTTTCAGTCCCCTTTTCAGTGTTCAATGGCATCGTAACATCACTTTCAGTGTCCTGTGGCAATATTTTCCTAATTGTTTTTAATCATGAACATTGAACGGACATGAAGAATTTCAGAAGCAATGTCATTCAACTTGGAAATACAATGCAAACATCCAAAAAAGAATACAGTCAATAAAGAATTAACGACAAAAAGTAAGTGCCTAACTCATATAATTTTGAATTGCTACTGTCCGAGAAAACCTGGAAAAGACATTCAGGCTTGCAACTTGTTGCAGAATTAGGTTTAAGATGCAAATGACAAACGATACTACTCCATTCCGCAAATAATAAAATAGCTCACTTGAGCTTCACAGCAAAAAGTAGCTGAATAATGACATAAATAGATTATCCATATCTACTAATAGATTATCCATATCTACTAATAAACATATCCATCTTACCTCTGGAATTCCAGAACCAGTGCCAAAGCTAGCATACAATGCACGTTCGCGGAACTCTCAAAGCAAGCAGGCTCTCCAAACTATGACCTAGTCTCTTCCATGAATTGCGAACAGAATGAGATCGAGTAAATGTGCACTGTTGTGGTGGGTCTATGCACTGGAGCACCCTCACAATTTCTGCATCTTCTTGTAGGTTCT